CTCAGCCAGAAAGTCCCACATGATCCCATACCCTGTCCCGCCGTCCCTCCCCACCCAGGGAATGCAGGCCTGGTCCCAGGCCAAGCTCGCGTCAGAAAGGGTCACCACCACCGTCGGCCAGCCTGCCCACACGCTGCCACCCCCCCCCCAGACAGGGCTGCCAACGCACCCATCTGCTCGAGTGGTGTCCCCACCCCCGCGCACACAGACCAGGCCAAGGAGGGGCTGCAGCTGGCTTCCGCAGGGTCGTTGTGAACCACAGACTGCCAAGGAAGCAGGCCTCACGGCGGCGGGAAGCTCAACGCCTGTTCACAGAACCACTCACTGGCATTCCTCCCACGTCACCAGCGGTGGAGGACGGCCAGAGACAGGGAACCCTAGGTGTCCCCTCCTTGCAGGTGGAGCTGCTGCTTCCTGGGCAGTCCCACGCAGAGGCCTGCACTGGATGCCTGGTGCGGGGGGTTGCCGACCCATAAGGTAAGAGAAGCCAGAGAAAGGCAGGTATGGGGCAGGTGTGGGCAGATAGGAACTTCAGGTCCCCAGGACCCGGGAACAGCCCAAGCCCTTCAGCAGAGGACTCAGACTTTTGTACTGGGCAAAACCCACCGAGCATACAATCCAGTCTGCACCTCCCTGGAGCGCACAGCTTGGTGGCACTCGGTACATTCCCTGAAACTCCAGAGCTTGGTTCAACTTTTTTTTTTCCCCCAGGGCTGGTGACAGAACCCAGGGCCTTGGCCTGCTAGGAAAGTGCTCTGCCACCGAGTGACCCCCAGCCCTGGAGCTCAGTCCTAAAGCCTGGCTCATTGAGCGGATCTTGGTTGAAAATCTGTTCAGGCTTCTCAAGGGGACGAGAGATGGAGGTGCAGCCCTGCTCAGAAGTGTCCCCCCAGCAGGGTAGGGGGCAGAGCCCAGAAGCCACCAGCCAAGAATGCACTGGCCGTCAGAGATGGGCAGGGGGGCACCTGGAGTCCCAGGAGGGACGGGGCAAACAAAGACTTCTAGACCAGTGCCCCCCCCCCCCCACCCCGCCACAGAGGGCGCTTCAGAGTCCTCCCTGTGGTGACGGGGCCTGATGAGCAGGTGCCTGTGCTGCAGGCAGCCTTTGGAGCACCAGGCTCTCGGCTGCTCTTAAAAGCCCAGCTCTCCAAACTGCAGAGTGGAGGCAGAAATATGTGACCATGTGTGGCTGCGAGCAGCTCTGACTGGGTCCTCACTCCCTGGACAGACTGCAGATCAAGGCCCTGGGGTGGGAACCTTGTTTTCCCTCTTTCTGACAAAAAGCAGATCTGCTGACAGATTAGGAAGCAGGGGGCTGGGGTGAGGGGAAGGTCACCCAGAAGCACCAAGCACTAAATCACCCGCTAATGAGGTGCTGGTGTTCCTGGGAGCCACAGGAGGACTCGCTCTGGCCCTGGACTGGCTGGTGGGCTGCGGTTCTCATGAGACTACCAGGAACTCCTGGGGGTGGATACTCTCCCACTGTGGGCCCGAGGGCAGGAGGCAAGGACTGCAGCTTGCCCAAGGTCACACATCCTAGGGAAGTGCCCTGTCAGAGAGCCTCCTCCTGCTCTAACCCCGCTCCCACCCAGGAGGCCATAATGCTCCGGGCTCCAGAAATATTCGAGTCCAACTGCTAGGAACACAGGTTTTATTCAAAGTCACTTTGAAGGAAGGTGCAACAAAACTTAATTGCTTCCAAAGTTCCATCTCTGAAAATCAGCAGAAACTTTAAAGGACTAGGGGCCACCAAGGGACAAAAGAGAGGAAGGCACCCCTGCGGACGGAGCCAGCCTCCACCTCCGCGCCCACCTTCTTGGCCCCTGTCAGGAATTTCAGATGGGAGGACCCCAACTCAGCCTGTCTCAGTGCTTCCCCCAACACCATGTCACTGCTACCAACAACCAATCCTCATGTGGCACCGGCTCCAGGGTCACACGCTTGACTTTTAAAGGTGTATAACAGCTGGTAGGACAGACATGATGGCACGCATTTCACAGAGCAGGAACTGAGGCTGCAGAGGCTTTGGGTTCGACCCAAGTTCATGCCAAATAGACCTATACATACAAATGTGCAGTGTGGAGCAAAGTCAAACCTGGGTTGGAGTCCTGCCTGCTGGGTGACCTTGGGCCAGTTCTTAACCTGTCTGGGTCTAGCACTCCTGGTTGGGACAGCAGTGCTAAGTGTTATAATCTTGGGGTTACTGTACATGTGGATTCCACTGACGGCAGAGCCTGGCATGAAGTTAGTTCTCAGTAGGTTTCTGTTAACATCTATTAGCATTGTCATCACCACCAGCAGGAAAGACCTGTGAGATCCTAAAGCACAGGCCAGCTGGACACTGCTGACCTTGGAGGTTGAGGGGTAGCAGGTGGACAGTTGCAGGACAGACCAGATGTGCAGGCAGGGACAGGGCCTGGCCTCCAGGAGGCCTCGATGACAGATGTGCCCACATGGAGACAGGCCAGCTGGGCTCACACAGAAAGCCCTACTCCGTGAACAAACTGGCAGAGAAATGAAAGCCTCAGGCATTAAGTAAACACTCTTCCCAGGTGAGCAACAGTGAGGGGAGATTTTATTGCCGATTGGTTCCAGGCTCGGAGCTTGGAGGTGGCTGGCTCGTTGATAGTTTTATGGTGGTTTCTCAAGTTCTTGATTTGAGCCTCGGTACCTTGGAAACTAGGATTGTTGTAGGGACAGTTGAGAGAAGGCACCAAAGACAGCAGGAAACAGTTTTATTGGGCTGCAGCCAGGTTCAGAGGGCACAGCTTTTGCTGTAATCAATCAATCCCCTGAACCCCGAGTTCAGGGAGTTTCAGAATTTTATACCCAGCATGTAAGAGGAGGGGCTCAGAAGTTCACTGTCTGCAGAAGTTCACATAAAAGCAGCTTTTTCTCTCACTGTTCTGGGCAAGTTAACCCTTCAAGGACCTGAGAGGGGGAGAGCTTCTTCTCCCCTCCTCTCCTCCCCCTGCCAGCTGTTACCATGGAGCCCAGTTGGTAACTTCTCTATCCTAGAAATGCAGACATCTCTGTGAAGCTCAGCTCAAGGCCAGAGGCCTGTTTGCACATTTCTACAAACTACTATACTGGATACGTTTGTGAGAAACTAGTAAGGGGGTGTCCAGCACCTGGAGTGCTGGCATCTTCCCGGCCAGTGGCCAAGTAAAATAGGAAGTTTATCTACAGTGAACTCTTTGGCAGAGACTCTTTTGCTGACAGTCCTAAAATCAGCCAATGGTGAGGATTTCTGGAGAAGCCCAGGTAAGAGGAGGGGGTGCCACTACAGGACAAGGGAACCCTCCTCACTGGATGGCCATCCTCTTCTCCACTGTCAGCCCCTGTGGAAAACAGCCCCTGAGATCCAGGATCCCAGGTTTCCCACCCTCAGCTCTGGGTTCCATTCATTAGCAACTCCCCATTCCAAGCCTCTGTTTGTCTGTCTGTTTATCTTTACAGTACTGAGGACTGAACCCAGAGCCTCACACATGCTATCAGGTGTTCTACCACCCAGTCATCCTTAGCTCTCCAAGCCTTTGACTTGTCTCAGTTTCAAACATTCAATATTCAATATGAATTCAGGGCTGGAGTGTAGCTCGGTGGTAGAGCACTTGCCTAGCACCCTGGGTCCAATTGCCAGTACTGAGGAAGGAAGGAAGGAAGGAAGGAAAGACTAATTAAAATATTTTCTAAGGGGGGATCACAAGTCAAGTGGCCAGCCTGGGAGTGGTGCTTACCATTTGGACCCCCTTTACCTATTTAAAAATCTCCAGCAAAATGTGTGGTAAAAACCAGGTGCCGTGGTGCACACCTGTAATCCCAGAGGCTCAGGAGGCTGAGGTAACAGGATCAAAAGTCCAAGGCCAGCCTCAGCAACTTAGTGAGGCCCTAAGAAACTTAGCAAGATCCTGACTCAAAATGAAAAATAAAAAGAGCTGAGGACGTGGCTCAATGGCGAAGTGCTCCTGGGTTCAATCTCCAGTGCAGAACAAGACAAGAAGATATGAGGAGTGAGGGCCAGGCTTGTGGCCAGTGAGGAGCCAGCTGATGGCAGAGGCCCCTGGGTCAAGTGTGGGGTTTGGAAAGGTGGGCCAGGAGCCTGACCCACAGTGGGAACACTGTAGGCCACCTGAGCCTTCACCCAGCGGGCCTTAGCTGGTTCTGGCTGGCGCAGGCATCTCTGGGTTCCCCATCCTCAGGGACTCAGCGCTCCAGGTCCTCAGAAGCCCCAGAGGGTCCCGGGTCCTTCCTCTCCTGGAACAGACTAAGATTCCTCTGGAGGAGGTTGTCTCCACTTGCAGTTTCCATTCAGGATTGGGGCAGGGTTTGGAGCAGGAGCAGGAGTTACCTGGGCTACCCCCAGTGTCTAGCAAGTTCCCCTCCAGGGACTGTCCTCTCACTGGGCATGACGGGTGGAGTTAGGGGCATTGACCCTCTTCCCAGAAATTCCACTGCCTGGGCCCAGGTGTCTCCTGTCCTCTCTTAGGGAGGGTGATTCCCTCCAAGTTCATACCCACCCCCCAACAGGTGGACCCAGGGGCCCAGGTGGCCGGCCTGAACCCAGGTGGCCGGCCAGGCCCTGCCTCTTGCAGGGGCTGGGGTCGGAGCAGATGCAACCTGTGCTTCTTTGGGCCCTGAAGCTCCTTCCTAGTCTCCCCTCCTTTCTGTGGAGCCCTCCATTTCTCTTTCCCTCCAGGACCCCTCACAGGGGCAGGTGTGCCCTGGGCTCTCCTGTTCTTTTAGAGGGGCCCCTTATAAAATCAGCTGAGGATAAAATCCAGAGATACCGATGCACGAGCCCTGCCTGGGTCAGGCCTTTGGCCACCAAGCAGACCACGTGGCCTGGCAGCCCTGTTGCTGAGTCAGGGAGAGGGCCCCATGCTGGACACAGTTCGGGGAGAGCAGGAAGCCAGCCTCAGCTCGCCCCACAGCTCCCTTCTCCCCCTCCCCACCTAATAAGCCAGGGGTCCCTGGGTGGGAGGAAGCACCCTGGGCCTTGTCCCACCTGCCTCACGGTCTCTCCTTGGGACTGGAGGCCTGTGGCTATGTTAGATTAAGGGATTGGTCTCCTTGCCCTAGAGGGTCCCCTCTGGCCCTAATGCAGGCCTCCCCATGCCTTCCTCTGTCTGTCGAGTCCCTTGGGTTTCAGCCCCTAGGCCAGCAAGGGGCCAGGAAAGCAGAGGCCAGCTCAGCGCTCCTCTTTCAGGACCTTTATTGCCGGCGATCCTGAGGCCCAGGTGGGGCCGAGAGGGGCTGCCCTGTCCCCAGGGCTAGAAGAAGTTGACCACCCTGCGGAGCGACTGCACACGGGCACTGTGGGCCTCCCAGTCAGAGAAGCTGCGGAAGTCGCCCCTCTCCACCACGTACATTCGGCCACGGTAGTTGGGCTCCTCATAGAGGACCCATCTGGAAGCCAGGGAAAGACAGGTCAGGGGACGGACACAGGAATGCCACCCAGGCTCCGATCAGAAGACCTCCCACCAGCCCTGCCACCCCTTCCTAGCCCAGTGGATCCCTGTGCTCTGCAGAACACCAGGGTGCGCCGCCTGCACTAGGCTGACTCCCTACCTGCTGCTGTGGGGGTCAGGGCTGGGTGTGGCACGGGGGAGGCGTGCCCAGTAACGGGCCATGGTTTAAAATTGGCCAGTCTACTCCAGGAGGCTCTGGCCCCCGTGGCACAGCCCTCATCCCTCCTGCTCTCTGCAAGGACCATCTCACACTGATGGCAGCTGCAGCAGCAGGCAGGACACTGGGCACAGACTGGGGACAAACGCCTCCTGCTCATTCATTCAGCAAACGCAGACGAGCTCCAGGCGTGTGTCTCACTGTGCGTTAGGAACCGGGGTGCTCAGGTGGGACAGATGGGCTCCCATCCCCATGACACCTCTGCTCCAGTGAACAACAGACTGTGGTGTCTGCAGTTGCAGGAGGGGACAGCCAGGATCCTGGCCGTCGTCCCCAGTGGAGCCAGGAGAGACCATGGCCCCTCATCACCCAGGAGGTGTGGGGCTGCAGGTGAAGGGCAGTGCAAACCAGGTGACCAGGAAGGTGTGGCGGGGAGGCTAGAGGGGGGCCAGAAGGGTGGTCTCCATCTGGGAGGGGAAGTGTGGACCAGAAAGCCATCCCTTCCTCTGCCATCCCTGAGCCAAGTGTGCTACTGTGGGGAGGGGGCCCAAGAAAGGTAGCACAAGTCTGTGGCCCTGGGGGGCGAGGTCTGAAGCCTGAACTGACTGCCTGGCCCCAGCAGAGGACTGGGAGTCGCCGTGGTCAACAGCGGGCCTCTACCAGGCCCCCGACTCCTCCCCTTCACTCTCTCCACCATGGAAAACTGCCTTTCTCTGCTTGGGACAGGCAGTGGCCTTGGGCCGCTTCCTCTTGGGCCTCCCACAAGGGGCGCACACACAGCTCTGTCTTTGGGGTCCATGTGGCCTGGACTCCGACCCTGCCTCTTTGCAATGAGTGCCCACCTGGACCCCAGTAATTCTTGCCCATCACCCCGAAAGCACTTTGCTGTTGAAGGAGCTTCCTCCCCGTGGACACAGCCCTTCTAGCCTGGGCCCAGCCTCAGATGAGGTCAGGGAAGGTGAGTGAGGGCCCAAGGCCGCACAGCCCTCCTCCCCACTGTCTGCTCCCGCCACTCTCCTGACCCCACACCTGGTGCCTGGGGCAGTCCACTGCTGGGAGAGTCAGGGTCGGTAATGGCCATGAAGAGGGAGGGAGGCGGAGAGTGTGAGCAGGGAGGGGGCACCTACTGGGGGACAGCCTGGTGCAGCAAGACCTCCCACCCCACGGCTGCAGCTCAGAGGGAGTGGGCCAGCCCCGGCCCCCTAGCAGCAGCTGGAAAGGCCCAAGCAGTGTCTTGAGCCACCCTGGGGCTCAGGTGGACATCCCCCAAACTAAAGGGCAGGGAGAGGGCTGGGCGTCGCAGCAAGCTCCCCACTCCTAGCCCAGCCAGTTGGGGAGGAGGCAGAGAGAGGAAGGCAAAGGGCTCATTCTTCTCTTAGAGGGCAGGGGGGCTGCTGGGGATTAAACCCAGGGCCTGACACGTGCCGGGCAAGTGCTCTACTTTGGCACCACCTCCCGGCCCTGAGGCTCAGCTTTTAGGAGATGGGAAGTGGAAATGGCAGAAATGCCAGTGTGTTTCCCTCCAAGTGCCCTCCAGGACATGAGACGAGGGACAGGCCAACTGGAACTGCACGGAACCCAGAGGGAACGCTCTTGTCCTGCAGGAAATGGAGGGACCCAGCCTCCTCATCACCCAGGTCCCAGGAAAGGCTCTGTGGAGTGTCACCATCCAGACCCAGGGCATCCAGCATGGCCACCCATGCAGCTGCCCCTTGAAGAGGGCTTACGAGTCACAGGGCCCGGGCATGTGGCTCAGTGGTGGAGTGCTTGCCCAGCATGTGTGAGTTCCGTCCCCAGCACCGCAGAAGAAAGAAAAAACATGAACTAAAGACACAAGAGGTAAAGGAGAAGTGTGCTCTGGGTCCACACAGGGAGTCTACCATTTCAGCTCTGGTTAGCTTCCTGGCCACCAAGATGTCCCCTCCGAGGGCACAGGATTCTACAATCAAACAACGCAAGCCCCTGCCTCCCCCACCTGTTCCTCAACAGCCCTGAAGTCTCCAGGCTGTGGAGAGGCGGGACCGTGTCCTGGGTCTCAGGACATTTAACATGCCCAGGTGTGTCTTTGCCTCATGGCACAACTTAGCCAGCAAAATTTCCAGGGTGCATTGTTCTGGAATTCTACCCCTGGACTCCCAGATGCCACCAACTCCTCAAGCCAAGTCACACCTCCCTGAAGAAAGGTAGATAGTATCTATAGCTCAGTCTGGGTCTCCTTCAGTCCCTCCCCTGACACCTCACCAGGGTCCCTGAGGCCAAGCCTCAGAAATACAGAAGACTCCTTAACTTCTTCAACAAGAGCCAAGTTTTTGGACCAGCCATAGATGGAGGCAGGACCGGGCCTGGGGCTCTTCTCCTGAGGGGAGGGGCTGAAGGCACCAGCTCTGGAAAGCAGACTGCAATCCCAGCAGGGCCTCTCTCCAGGGCCAAGTTAACCTTCCAGTCTCAGTTTGCTCCTCTGTAAAATGGGGACGATATCTACCCAAACAAAGGTTAGAGAGATGGTCAACTGGAAAGTCTCAGGGCAGTGACACTTTACACAAGGGGAGGGCACAAGGAGCAGGGAGCATGGGCTGCCCTCAGCTGATCAGAAGGAAACCTGCCTGCGTCTGCAGGGGGCGGCCAAGGACAGAACACGCAGGGTTCTGACAGCTGTTTTGGGCCCAGTGTCCCTCACTGAGGCCTTTCTGGGCCATAGGGAGACCAGCAGCCCTGGCCGCCACTCACGCTCCATCCCCGTAGACCTTGACGGCGTTGACGCAGCTCCTGGTCCAGCCCTGGCTCTGCAGGAAGGGGCAGTCCTCCAGGAACTCCAGACACTGGCCCGTGAAGTTGCAGCCCTCGAAGATCTCTAGCCGGAAATGCTCCCCATGCTCCAAGGCACAGGCGGGCGGAGGGTGGGAAAGAGGAAAATGCTCTGAGTCCCCCACCAGTACAGGTGGGAAGGAATGTGCAGTCACCCAGGGCTCAGGGCCAAGAGTTCCTGGGCTGGCTGGGGTGGGGGTTGGTAAATGGCCCCATCTCAACACACACCCTCTGTTCCTTCTTTCACATGAGATGTGTTGGCGGTTTTATGACTTTAAAAAGCTTGGCTGGGGGTGGCGGTGCATGCCTGTGATCCCAGAGGCTTGGGAAACTGAGGCAGGGAGGAATGTAAATTTGAGAGCAGTTTCAGCAATTTAGCAAGGCCCTTAGCAACTGAGTGAGACTCTGTCTCAAAATTTTTAAAAAAGCATTAAAAGAGCTGAGGATGTAGCTCAGTGGTAAAGTGTCCCTGGGTTTAATCCCCAGTACCAGAAAGAAAGAAAGAACAACAACAACAAAAGAGCTTCAAAGCCCCTGAATCGGTCCAGTGGTCCAATCTCCTCTTTTTACAACTAAGGAATCCAAGATCCAAAGAGGGGGCAAGACTGCCCTGAGACCAGGGCCACTTGGACCAGGGCTGGGATCACTAACTCCCTCCAGGTGCTCAGCCTGGGGGCTCCTGCCCTGGTTATACCAACACGCTTCTCAGCTTTGACTTCTCTGCCCGCAGGCCACAGATGATAATATTTTAGAACTGTAATAGAACCTTTTATTAAAACATGAAGCCAAAACTCTAAAACAAATAACACATCTCGTTTGCTGAAATCCCTGCTGGCCTTGATGTCATCACTCACTAACATCATCAGTACATGGATCTCCCTACGGGATTCCTGTGTTTCCAAAAGACAAAAGGAGGGCCAGCTCCCCACAGGCCAGATGTGGGGGGGCGGGTCTGCTTCATAGCTGGCCCCAGGCATGGCCTTTTTGAGAAGAGCATTCACAGGATGCCTAGTATATTTTTAATATAAATAGCATTATACAGGATCCAGGGCCAACCATTTTAATTCCTTTTTCCAAATGCCCAAGGCCTGGCAGAGATACTAAGAAAGTATTCTTACATTTGAGAAGTCAAAGTGCAGCCAATTTTACAACTGATAGAAGAGGGGGCCCCAGGCAGAGAGGCACCGCCCCCGTGATTCCTTAGGTGTCTGCCAGAGCCCCAGCCCAGGCGTCCAAGCGAGGGCCCTCTGGCCAGCAGACTCTGAGCAGGGCTGCTCACTGTGAGCTTGGGGACTGGTCATTTCCCATCCAAAGGACCAGAACTCAGAGCAGGTCAGATAGTGCTGGGACTTGGGTTAAGCCTCATTCCGCAAATCCTACCCTAGAGTCATGCAGCCATAAAAAGCCCCTCCCCACGGAAGAGCGACACCCCTGGTTTGCGTTCCCTACACACACCAGGCCCCACCTGTGAGATGCAGCCACCTGTGCAACTCCAAGGGACCTGCCCCACATGTCCTGCTGACTGGCCTGTGATACTTCAGCTTCTTCCATTAGCAATTCCAAGATTAGGGCTTGGGAGGTGCGCAGAATGGCTACAAGGCCATGTGCCCAGCAGGTGCCCGGATCCAGGCAGCCTGACTTACTTTTGCTGAGTGCTCCACCTTCCGGTCACAAATCCAAACTTATAATTTTTTTTTCTTTTCTTGGGTGTTGGAGAGGGAACCCAGGGCTCACGCTCTACCACTGAGCTACACCCTCCAGGCCCCAAACTTCTAATATTTTCAACAGCATTTTAAATAGAGAATTTAGCTAGATGTTTGGATGGGAAATTTAAAGTGGTTTCCTGAGAACTCCCAGGGGCTCGCCTGCCTGGTAGCCCTGATTGAACCCCATGGTGTCTCACCCTCCTGCCAGCAGGGGTCTGGGTAGGGCCTTTTAAAGTTGGGAGGACCCTGCTACAGATTCCAGGAAGGCCCCAGCCCCCAGGCGGAGTGGGTGCTCACCATTCCTACAGGCCGGCAGGAGCCCATGTGGTCACTGTGGCCGTTCCATCGGAAGAAGTCAGGGTAGTCACCGTGCTCCAGGATGAACTGCTGGCCCCGGAAATCGGGGTGATCAAAGCAGACCCAGGCGCCACTCTCCACCCGGATGGAGTTTACTCTGTTCATAAAGCCTCGGTCCTGGAAGTTGTCACAGTCCCCGAAGACCTCCAGCTTCCGGCCTGTGAAGTGCTTGCCCTCGTAGAGAGTGATCTAGAAGGCCAGGTCAGAGCCAGGGTCAGGCTTCTCTCCTTTCAGTTTGGGGGTCTGTCATCTGGGACCTCTGCATCCTCTAGGAAACCCAGATTCCCAGGCCACCAAGCCCGGCCCTGCTGTGCACAGGAGGTGCCCGAGACATCTGCTGATTGGGCAGAGGATGAAAGGTCAACAGGCTGCTGTCAGACACAGCCACTGCCCAAGCCCCCCGTGGAGCAGACAAACTGCAGCCCGTCTCTGGGGACAGGAAGTTCCCCTTTGTGGAGGTATCCACTTGAAAACCTGTTGTCACAAATTTCCACCACATTTGTTTAACTCAATTTTTGTTTATTGTTAAAACAACACATCCATAATAACATCAAAGGAAATCTTTCCAAAACAATAAACTTCACCTACTACTCACCTTTATTTTTTGGAAAGCCAGGTTCCTGGGGCTGGGCCTCCTCAGCTAGAGAGGCTGAACCTGTGGAAGCCAGGTCCAGGAATCCCGGCCCAGGATGAAAGTCCTCAAAAGCACACTCTATAAGTGTCACCTTGTCCTTTTTTTTTTTTTTTTCCTTTTTAAGGCCTGACAGACAGATAACTAGGTAGCATGGACATGTTGTCCTTTTCCCAAACTTTAGTTTGGACTGGAGACCCTGGGGCACTTTACCACTGAGCTACATCCCTAGTCCTTTTTATTTATTAATTTTTTTGTATTTTGAGACAGTATCTTACTAAATTTCTTAGACCTCTCTAAGTTGCTGAGGCTGGCCTCAAACTTGTGATCCTCCTGACTCTGCCTCTTAAGTCTCTGGGATTACAGACAAATGCCATTGAGTCCAGCTCTTGTCCCCACACTTAACAACTCAAGCAACAACCCCCTCAACTTATTTCCTGCCGTGGAACCTAAAATTCCAAATACTCAATAACTCTTGGGTCTCAAGAATTGTGGTCCCAAGGGACCCTATCAAAGAATAGTAACCCAGTAACTGTTGTCATTTGTGCTTTATAAATGCTTCCAGTTCTCCCAGGCCCCTCGGAGCTAGGGCAGCTGTATGCTCTGGCCAAAGGAATGTGTGTGGGAATGGACACTTGCAAGCCAGTGCATGTCTGATTTGGGGGTCTCTTCCTTTCCCTTTCTCATGTTACTGTCAGCCTGGGGCATAGGGAAGGGTGTGAGGACAAAAGCACTTATACCCATGATGGATATGTGGTGCTAGGGAGGCAGATACCCTAGTTGATGTATGCTACCAAGCTACTGGGGTTATTTGTTACTGAAACATAACCTAGCCCATGCAGAGGACTCTAGTGGTGCTCTCACCACTGAAGCACTTGAATGGAGCTTCTGGAGCCCAAAGGCTTCATGGGATTATCCAGGACAGGGTCACTAGAGAAGGAGGAGAGAGATCTGAATTGGCTACCCTTCCAGCACAAGACAGGTTTGATAGAGAGTCACCCAGACATTCAATGAGACCTGAACACCCTAAGGATTTGGAGGTCCTCAAGGCTCAACATTTTGCTGAGAAACAGCCCCACATACCCGTGAAGACTGGAGAGCAAAACACACACTTTGACCATCCTCTCATAAAGAAGAGACAGCTAGGGTGGGCCCTGTATGATTGGCAAGGCTAACCCACCCCAAGCCAGAAAGCAGCAGCCAAGTTTGACCACCCTCCCTGCTCTTGACTTGGGGGAGGTGGTTAGAACCCCAGAACACCTGAAAAAGGGGATGGAAGAGGGCCATCATCCTCTGCACCCCCACCAGAGAGGCCCACAGCCAACAGCCAGGCAGCTCCATTTAATTAAGAAATTAAGCCAGCTTTGCTTGGGCTTGTAGTCCCCAAAGGGCACACGGGAGCAACGGTTTGCATCTCCCTATGCCCGGTTTGCACCCTCCCCATGCCCGCGCACTGGGGCAATCGCCGGCCCTCTGCTGGTTTGCATTGGGTGGGGAAGGGCGAGGACTCACCTTCCCGGAGCGCTGCGCCATGGTGCGCCGCCGTCCTCCACCGGACTCAGTATATACCCGGCGGCGCCCTGCTGGCTCAGCGCCGCCAGGGACAAAAGATTTGCTTGGCCGGGCACCGCCGAGTTAGTGCTGTCGGGCGTGCTAAGCCGGAGAGGGGCCGCCGGGCCGGCCGCTGGGACCCGACCCTCGACCACCCTGCGCCACCCGCAGAGCCCCACCCCCCCGCCGCCCCTGCCAGACCCCAAGACCTCCGTTCCCGGACCCCTCCTTCCCAGCCCACCCGCTCTCCTTGCTGAGTCAGGACCACGGCACCACCGCATCCACTGCGATTGCCGGGGGCTGGGAAGGGGTCTCCCAGGCCCTGCGCCTCTTCCCCAGTGCTGCACTTGCGCCCCTTCCCCACTCCACGTCTCCCTCCTTCTAACCTCCCGCAACCTCCATCACACCCGGCTGCACTCTAACCTGTTCCCGCCTGGTTTCTTTGGGACCTAGGATGGAGTCCATCCAAGCGTCCTGGGGCAAAGAAAGTCTTCCTCTGCCCCTTATAACTAGCTTCCCTGATCTGAGCTCCCAGCCCCGGCCCCTGGCCACCCTCCCTCCCCAGCCTGGGCTCCCGTGTCCTCCCTCTTTGGGATACTGTATCTCTCTCCCACTGGAGATCCTTCCCAGGTGTCCCGGGCCCTGATCCATGCTGCACCCTGTGCTCGGGTCGGGGGGCCGCAGTGCTCTGCACCTGAAACTCTACACTAGTGCACAGAGCAGGCCACCCTGCGTGACCGTGACCGAGGATGGGTCTGCAGAGCATTCCCAGAGCTGAGAAGCCCTTGGCACACAGTGGAGCCTCGAAGATAGTTTATGGAGTAAATGGAATAAACACGGAGGCCACAAATCACTGGGGAGATGAGATGGGGTAACTGATTGGTGGGCAGTGTGGGGGGGGTGGGGGGGCAGGCTCTAGAGCAAAGGAGAAGCCCGGGGCTGCGGGGGGGGGGGGGTCCTGGGGGCGGGGAGTTAGGCAGGGCTTCTTCTCTCAGGAAAGTGGACTGGTTTCTTTCTTTCTTTTTCGCGGGTAGGGGATTGAGCAGTGAATGCAACTTTTATTCTTGACTTGTGAGAGACTCACAAATTAACTTCTCAACCTGCTGCACGGGGAGATGGGGTAAAGGAAATGAGGGGTGGGTAGGTAAATAAAGGGGAGGAATATTCATGCCTTTTCTGGGAATGGGTGGCGATTTTCTGGGACTCCAGGTATTACCTCTTTTTCTTTTTTCTTTTTAGTACTGGAAATTTAGCCCCAGGGCACTTAACCACTGAGCTACATACATCCTCAGCTCTTTTTTATTTTGTTTTTATTTTGAGACAGGGTCTCACTAAGTTGCTTACAGCCTCAATAATTTGCTGAGGCTGACCTTGAACCTTTGATCCTCCTGTCTTAGCCTCAGGAGTCCTGGGATTACAGGCTTGCTCACCAAGCCCAGCTCTCTTTTCACTCTTCTTATGGTTCTTTGCAAGTCATCGGATGGCCATTGTCTACTGTCATAGCTCTGGGGATATGTCATTTAGCATGCAGATGGATTATCATGAAGTCAGAGGTGGTCACTCCTGAAGCCATCTTGACCTAACTTGTTTGGGCTAGCCTACCTGGAGAGAAACTTTAGGACTTCAGGTATCCTATCTTCAAAGATAAACAAGAAAAGGACCAGGTAGAAATTCAGCTAGGTCACTGAGGCAGTACAAGATTTGGGCAGGGTAACAGGGCTACTGTCCAGTGTATTTTTATTGCCATTTCACAAATGGTGAAGGGACAGCAGGTCACATGATTCTTGGGGCAGAGAGTGACCTTGCCCTTGCCCTAAGAAGTCATCAAAGGCAGACAGGGCATGGACTGGATCCCACAGGTCACCCTCCTAGCTGTCATGCCTTCCCCCAGGGCGGCTGCCGCCTCCACAGGTGGCCATCCACTCTCCAGGCCACACCTTCCAGCGCTTGCCTCTGGACATGGGTCGTGTGGGGACATATCATTAAAAACAAAGTTTCCTGCCAATCTAGAAAAGTAGTAGAGAAAGAAAACAGTCATTATTAAGTCAGCTTTAAGCCAGAATGTGATGGGCTTCACGGGTGACCTGCTTAGACATTGCAACATGTCAGCCTGGGGGTCAGTGGCAGGGCTCATCTGTAGCTTGAGTAAGGCCCTGGGTTTGATCCCTAGCACTTCGAGGGAGGGAGATGGGGAGGGAAGGAGAGAAAAGGAAGGGGAGGGGAGGGGAGGGAAGGGGAGGGGAGGACTTCTCAGAATTGGACCTGATATGGTGACCAGCCAGTCCACAGTTTTGTTACCGCTGTTGGCCGGTGACGAGTCCTTGCTTCCCCCATGTTGAAGAATAACACCAAAGAAGCACGGCGAGGCAAGGTCAGAGTAGAAATTAGAAGTTTATTAAAGGACAGCAGAAAAGACTTCTCCCGGAGGAAGAAGGGGACCCAAGAGGTGCAATCTATGGAAGTGCGGTTGTCTCCCCTTTTTATAGTTTTGGTGATGGAATGTAAGGGGAAGGGTTAGGACACAGGTGGGCCAAACGGGCAGGAAGGACTTAATTATCACTTTTTGGGATGGGCTTATCACTTCTCTGGGATGGGCTATCTCCAAATCTGTTGGGGGCTGTTCCTGGGTTCCATTAATATTTCTTTGGGGTGGACTTTGGCCTAGGGCCTTTCTGGAACTTCATTAACACTCCATGAGTTGTCCTGCATTTCCCGGAATCATTGCCAGCATGGCCTCCATTTTAGATTTCACTCGATATTAGACCCGATTTACCTAACTACACTGACTACCTAATTTTAAATCTGGCTTCAGTTTGATCAAGACTACTTAATCATGGGTATTTCTTAACTCCTGCTTTTGATTTCTCCCAAATTAAAACAGAGCTCTGTCAATACCCCCCAAAGACAGGGCTGAGGATTCCAATCTTCCCAGTCTGGCTATACTGAATAAATATTTCTTTTCTTTCTTTCTTTTTTTTTTGCACTGGGGATTGAACCCAGGGGTGCTTAACCACTGAGCCATATCCCCAGCCCCTTTTTTATATTTTATTTAGAGACAGGGTCTCACTGAGTTGCTTAGGGCCTAAGTTGCTGCAGCTGGCTTTGAACTTTCGATCCTTCTGCCTCAACCTCCAGAGCCACTGGGATCACAGTCAGGTGCCACTTCACCTGGTCTGAATAAATTTCTTTCCTTCCTTTTTTACCACCAGCTTTTCTGCTTGGATTTTGAGGCAAGTAGCTAGACCCGGTCAGCAGGGACTCCCTTATGTCAGGTCCCTGTCTGTCCCAGAACTCTGATAACAGAGCCCACAGATTTTGTATCACCATGAAGGTGATGTGAATGGAATATAAAATATTAACAGTGATTTGGAGCATTTTCTGAAAAACATACACAAAAAAATGCCCGCCACAAACTTCACTCAAAGAATTGGTAAAAATGAACAGGTGGATCAGATTTCAGCAATTTCAAGTCCTCCCCCCATTCCAAGGGCAGACACTCAAGTCTCTCCCACAATTTCCATTACAAGTTGGTCACCAGAGGAAAGCTCTGCCATGCCCAGTAAGACACCTTGCCGCAAGCAGCTACATAATATGTAAATGCCAGGCTCGTCAAATGCCACCCTTAGAGTTAAATCATTCCATTACCAGAGTCCCGGGTCAGGGGGGCCTCACAGGTTCCTAAAAGAAGAGCTCCAGGATTACCTAAGGGACAGAACAAAAAAGTGGGGAATGGATAAAGAAATGTGGTATATATACACAATGGAGTATTATTCAGCCTTAAAGAAGAATGAAGTGATGACATTTGCTGGTAAATGGATGGAGCTGGAAAATATGCTAAGTGAAATAAGCCAATCCCCAAAAAACAAAGGCCAAGTGTTTTATCTGATACGTGGATGTTAACTCACGATGGGGGTGGGGGTGAGGTGCTAGGGAAGAATATAGGTACTTTGGATTAGTCAGAGGGGAAAGAATGGAGGGGAGGGGTATGGGGGTAGGAATGATAGTAGAATGAATCAGACAGTATTACTCTACATGTACATGTGACTACATAACCAGTGTGACTCTACATCTTGTACAATTAGAAGAATAAGAAGTTATTATTCTCCATTTGTGTATGATGTGTCAAAGTGCTTTCTACTGTTATGGATAACTAATTACAACAAGTTAAAAAAAAGTGTGGAGCTGGGCGCAGTGGCACACACCTCAGCTTGGGAGGCTGAGGCAGGAGGATCACAAGTTCAAAGCCAGTCTCAGCAACTGAGTGAGTCCCTAAGTAACTCAGCAAGATCCTGTCTCTAAATAAAATACAAAAAAGGGCTGGGATTGTGGCTCAGTGGTTAAGCACACCTGGGTTTAATCCTGGGTACCTTAAAAAAAATTGTGGATTCCCCCCACCTCCACCCACTCCTGGTACTGGGATTGAAACAAAGGGTGCTTTACCACTGAACTATATCACCAGTCCTTTTCCATTTTTTTTTTTTTTTTATTTTGAAGCCAGGGTTGGCACATGACTCAGGGGTGGAGAAGTTGAGGCAGGAGGATTGCAGGTGTGAGGCCAGTCTCAGTAATTGTGTAAAATCCTGTTTAAAATAAAATTAAAGAGGACTGACCTTCCCTACAAAGGTGAGATCTTGGAACCCTACAGGACGCCGAATGCACAAAATCACAACAGATCCACACCAAGACACATTATAATGAAAATGCCCAACATACAGAATAAGGAGAGAATTTTAAAAGCCACAAGAGAAAGGAATCAGATTACTTATAAGGGAAAACCAATTAGGATAACGGCAGATTTTTTAACACAGACCCTGAAAGCTAGAAGATCCTGGAACAACATATATCTAGCTCTGAAAGATAATGGGTGCCAAGATTCTTGTATCCAGCAAAACTAAGCTTTAAATTTGAAGATGAAATAAAAACCTTCCACGATAAACAAAAGTTAAAAGAATTTATAGTTAGAAAACCGGCACTACAAAACA